CCTTGTGGACAACTAGGGAAATGCCGAGTTTTTCCCACTAAGCACAAGATCTGAGGGAACCGCGGTGTGTGGCTAAGTCCTGACGTCCTTAAACTACGGGGTCCCTGGCATGGGGCTCCGAGAGGAAGAACGGAAATGCTATGAAAACTTCCCTGGCAGAGAGACACCGGAAGCATGAGAGAGGGACTGTCAAACGGCTCCACTCCTGATGGACGGTGGTGATCCTTGGTCCAAACAGGTTCTGCTAAATGCCATGAGCTGCTTCTGGGGAAACATGGGACTGGGACTGAGGCAAGGAGGAAAACTCAAAGGGTTTGGGGGATATTTTTCTCCCAGCATGGAAGCAGGCTGCAGTTGACTTCGCCCTGATGGCTCCAAGGTTGTGAATGCAGCGCAGCGGCGCCCACAGGGGCTTCTGTGCCTGGGCCTCCTCTGGCAGCATCCTGGAGACCAAGGCGCACGCATTTGTCCCTTAGAGAAGTTCTGCAGCCTGGCCACAGCTGGCCCTGCTCCTTCCTGCAGACCCAGCCTGCAGAGTCACGGGCTTCTCAGACCCTGCCTGCATCCAGCTCTGCGAGATCACATGCTCCTGGAAATCAGGACAGCGGGAGTTTCAAACCTCCATCTTGGCTGTGTCCTTCAGTTTTGCCCCCATCCAGTGAAGTCTCTCTGGGCAGAGAACAGGGTTCCTGGCAAACAGAAGTTGAAAATTTCAGGCACTAGGGTCAGAGGGACCTGGCCCAGGCTTGGCTGGCTGACTGACCTGGAGTGCACTTCTCCAGATCTGAATCTCTAGCCCTGGGATTCAGGATGGTCCTATGAAGACACAGTTTAAGTGAAACCTTGCCATGAGCCCTCATAGTGGGCCCTGGCTCCACCATTCTCAAACCCTGCATGGGCCTTTTCCTATCCCTTATGCTGTTGACAGGGATAAACTGGCACAGATTAAGAAAATTGGTAAGCAGAATTTCATAAAAATTAAACTTTTGGATCACAGAAAGACGTCAGTAATAAAAAGAAAAAGGCACAGCTAAAAAGAAAATATTTACAATGCAAATTTTTGACAAAGGACTTGTATCCAGCATCTATAAAGTGTTTACAACGCAACAACATGAATGAACGGGCCAAGTGAGCCTAAGATGGTAACATAAGCCCAGCACAGCCCGTTCTCACTGCGACTAGGAATTCTAAATAGAATATACAAGCTGCTATGTGAGAACTCTAAAGGTGAGTGATTGCAGATTGGGGGAAAAAAGAGGAAAAACTGAACAGACACGTGCCGGGCGTGGTTCCTCGCTCCCTCCTCCCCTCCTCTCCTGTTCCTCTTTTCTTCCTCTCCCTCACACCTCCCCCTTCTGTTCTTCCTTCCCCCACTTCTCACAGAAGCAGCAGAGGCGAAAGTATATTCCCCAAGAGAGCTCCTTTTTAGTCAGGGGAATCTGATGGAGGGGCCCTTGTGGGAAGAAGTAAGGAATATCCAGGGATATAGATAGCCAAAAAGTGGTTCCCTAATTCTGTGGAAACATGGCTGCTGCGCCGTGCACAAATCACACAGGTCCAAACCAGCAGAGTGAAACCTTGGGAATGAAACTGAAATGCAGACCATGGGCACACCTTTTTAGCACACTTACTAAACAGTGCGTGCTTGGGACAGCCCCAAATCAGCACAGCAACTGACCCAGGAACCGCTGTCCACACAAGGCAATGCTGAACCTGAGCTTGAACCCATGCAAACTGCTGATCTGCGAGAGCAAAACCACCGTGTTCTTCAGACAGAGTAGTGTGGACTGAACCCAAAGTCTACACTCAGTGACATTTCCCATCTCTAAGACAATCCAAATCTACCCAGCATGCAAAGAGCCAGGAAAGCACAGGCAGTTCTCAGGGGAAAAGAATACATTCAGATCCCAAGGTGAGTCATGGCTGCTGGATTACCAGACAAAGACTTCAAAGAGGCTGTGGTGATAGCATGCTCCATCAGATCCAGAGAAATACACAGAAGAGGACTAAGAAGATATTTGTCTACAGAGAACTTCAAAAACACTTTAAAAAGAGCAAACGGAAATGCTAGGATTGAGTATAAAATATAAAGCTGAAACTTAAAATTCCCCCTGCATGATCCAGTAGGGGGAAGAGTGAAGGGTGCGTGTGAGGTGAGGGAAGGTGTGTGTGAGGTGGGGGAAGATTGAGTGTGTGTGTGTGTGTGTGTGTGTGTGTGTGTGTGTGTGTGTGAAGTGGGGGAAGGTGTGTGAGGTGGGGGAAGGTGTGTGAGGTGGGGGAAGGTGTGTGAGGTGGGTCAGAATGATTCAATCTGAAGAACAGGGAGAAAGGATTTAAAATGATCCTCAGGGACAAATGTGGAAACATTATTCTTAGGATATAATGAAGTGTTGGTCGTTAGATTTCTGGGAGAAGAGGAGAAAGAGAGTGGGGGAAATGCTTGAAGAAACAAAGGCCCGAAGTTGGTAAAGGGCAGAGCCTGGCACGTTCAGGAGGCTCTGTGCACCCCAAGAGGGTGTGCTCCGTCAGACCGCGCCTGGATGCAGCAGGAACTGCTGAAAACAAGATAAAGCTTCCATTGGAACAAAGAACTGAGACACAGCTCACAGTAGTGATGTGTCTAATCCAGGGGCAGCACCACCAGTCCGAGGAGTGGGAGGAGCCAGTGGTTCACTACCAGTCCGAGAAGTGGGAGGAGCCAGTGGTTCACTACCAGTCTGTGAAGTGGGAGGAGCCAGTGGTTCACTACCAGTC